ATCAGCATTGATAATTATTCATTTTCTTCTAGCTTTTAAGTCTGGAACTGGACAATATAATCATGACAGCAAACTAATGCGTCATATTTATATTCATGATTATTAATCTTGCAAAGAACTTAACTTGTCTCTTAGGTACATATGTTACACGTCTGTTAGCATTATCATCAGTATGCAAGCCGTAGGTTTTCAATCAGACAATAGTCCATCGTTTGATTATTAAACTACCGTCAATATAATTCACATTATACTAGATGATCTACCGACATTTTTTGTTCAATTTGAATTAAATGAATGCTCAGTCTATGCATCAATATCATCTATAACTAAATTATTCGCAAGTTTGAAGCTATGTCACGCATTTAATTATTAGAAAACCATATAAAAACACGATTATGCTCTTTAAGAAATTATACCAAATCTCATTCTGACTTTCAAAGAAAAAAACAGAAGGTGTTCATTCAAAAGCGAGATGTATAACTTGAATAAAATCATGATGATATCTTCTTATTTATTTATTTTTCTTTTAAATAAAACAACGTTTGGATGTGTTTCTTTTGTATCATTTACTCTCGTGGTACATCCACTTGACCGTTATTTATCTGATTGATAATATCATGTGGATGTGAACCTTCTACTTTGCATCCGACAGATTGAGCTGTGCCTATAAATAAAAATATTCTTTCAATTATACTGACCATAATATCAATCTATATATACTCACCAAGAATTTCTTTCACAGTTCCATCAAATGTTTTAGCTAATGAACGTGGTCGCATAATTCGTGCAATTTTAAGTATTTCATCGAGTGATACATTACCATCGTGTTTAACTGAATAACAAAACAAATAGAAACGAAATAAAATAATATAAAAAATTTACTATTTTTTTGTTTCTTTCGATCACGTGGTGGTTCTTTAAGTGCTTTGATGACAAGTGATGATGCAGAAGGTATAACATCAATTTTAGCATTACGATTTTGTACAGTAAGTTTGACTGTTACTCGCATGCCTTTCCATTCGCCTGTTGCTTTAGCAATATCGTCACCAACCTTTTTTGGAGACTATTCATTGTAAAAACATAGAATAATTATTATGAAACATATGATTTTGAATACTTACGAGACCAAGAGGACCAATTTTAGGAGCCAAAGATGAACCACCTGGTGCTTCACCACCAGTGACACGGACCATAACTATAAATACCGAACATTATATAAAGTCAATGATTTATAGAAGATTCAAATACTTTCATAAACAGCTGCTGGATCGAATTTTGGACCCATGATGTTGGCTAGGTATGTTCAAAAAAAAAATATCTAAATTAAAACAAACATGTAGCTAAATTTGACAAGAATAAAAAATTTCGAAAGTATAAATTTATTTGAATGATTATATGTAAAAAGATGCTATTTACATTTTTTTTCAATGTATAAGATGGAATATTAAAACACGAATCATAATATAAAAATAAATACGATTAGACAAATTGCATAAGATGTAATATTCAATATTTCTTAAACTTTTTTTTTTAACATAATTGCTTAGATATAATGCAGAAAAATTATTATTGAGCAATTTTATGAATCTTTTCATTCTCATCTGGGATATAGATGTCCCTATCAATCGATATGTGGTCGATATTTGACAATAGAAATTAAATGTAAAATTTACAAATATTTAATGTTCGCATTGTAAATTAAAATATTATCTGAAATTTAATGAATCGATTATTGAAAATAAACAATATTTACTTCGAATGAAATAAAAGCACAGAATAAATATTATAAAGATGGATGACTTGAAAGTTTTGAAATAAAGCAAAACTATAAAATATTGGTTTCAATTCGAAAAATTTTCTATTCTTTCTGAATCTACATTCGTAATTTTTTTCTTATACTCATATGTTCCGAGTTATGATTGAATTTTTGATGCCATTTCAATAATGTTTGAACGAAGACAGTCAAAACGCTAAAATGTCCATAGACAACGAGTACGACCGTATCACGTTTGAAACTACTTATATCATGTTTGTCTGCAATTTTCCGTGATAATTTCATATTTTTGGCGTCGAGATGCCAATTTCATTCAAGCCTCATTTCCTTTCATTTGATTGCATCGCGTTTTGCATATTTTTTGGATCAACCACTTACAGAACAAAGGTTCTTCTCGGCAAATAACGTCCGCTTTTGCATATGTTGTAATAGTACTTTTTTTTGCAAAACACGATGAACGAGACCGTATTCTAGGAAGTGCGTGAAAAAAATTGAGGTTCTTAAAACAATCATCCAGGCCTAAGTGAATGCATTTTGTTGGTCTGAAAATCACAGCATGACAAAAATATCACTGTGTCCCTCTTGTCAAAACTTCCATTGTTGGTAGATACTTCACAGAAAATTAAACTTCAAGATATTGTTTTATAGAAAAATATCTGCTCTTTTTTTTGGGCTCTGAAACTTGTCCAAATCGCATTTCCATGCCTTCCGTAGATTTGCTCATAACTTCTAAAATATGAGTGTCAAAAAAAAAAGTCGAACCTAGATTTGAAAAAGACACAATATTTTGTAGCTTCTACTGACTACTACCACCTTAATCAAATGAAAAACGAAGGAATATTTTGTCTCAAAACTTTGGATTAATTTACTAGTTCAGAAACATTAGTTCTTTCTCCATTGTAAAATTTGCTTATTTCACAAAAAACGAAATTATTTTTTCTATATCAAATCATTAAAATATTGCAATTGAAATCGCCATTTAAGAAAACTTTACTTTTGTTCTCTCGAATATTACCCATGTTGTTTGACTTTCATCTATTTACCAACAATTATATCAATTATATATTTTCAAAATCTTATACGTGTTATTATCTTTATTGCATAGCTACATAATAGAAGAAACTAGTTTTAATTTCATTTCATTGATTTTGAAAGAAGGAATGATTTCCTGTTTCAAACAACGTTTGAACAAAATCTACACACAAATATCATGCTCTTCCGTTTTTTTTCTACCTTCGAGCAAGAATATCTAAATATAGGTCAAATTGTTGTTAATATAATCTGATCTTAAATTAGACATGAAAAATCTGTGAGAAAACCTTAAAAACTATTAAAACTAATAATTAAAATATTGCTTTGTGTAATTTAGTAAATAGCTTGGACCTCACTCAACAATGATGAAAAAAAAATGTCATAATCTTTTGTTTTTTCTTCCGTTGAAAAAAAAAATGAATTCAATAATAAAGACTATGTTTTAAAGTAATATCATGAAAGCCTTTAGCATCTTGATTTCTCTTTGTTTGTTTTCTTTTATTTTAGTAAACATATTAATTAATATATTTCAATAAATATATATGTATGAGGTTTATTTGTTTTTAAATAATCTTTAACGTTTAAGATAAATTGAATTGACGATTTCATTCATGACTTCCATAGGTGGTTTTGCAAATTGTTTACGTTTGTGTACTTTTGAAGGTCTTCCTTTATGATTAAATTTTGTTCGTTTATTAAATAACATAACCGATGGTATATAATGATCTAAATCATCATCATCATCATTATTAATATCATTTGTTCGATCATCATCATTAAATATTGTAAACCATTTTGGTACATTTACTTGATTATCATTGACATGAGACATTAAAAATTGATTGGCATATGTGCGTGGTTGTGTGTAACGTAGTGGTGAGAATTGGGAATGTGAACGTTGGACGGTTGGTGATAATAATGATAATTCACCTGTTGTTGATCCTCCTTGGTAATCATTTGAATCAAGCATAGGTCCATTTGATTCATAATTGATTTTATTATTATGATCAATGGATGCTGGTGAAGCTGAGGCATATGGGCAAAAGCCAATGAGCAGAATAAGTATGGCCATGCTCATCATAAATTGCGATAAAAATGAATGCTGTCGAATTGAAACAGTTGATGACATCTTGGGAAAAACTCTTGATGATGCTTCTAATGATGAAATTGTTGACATGCTTTATTAATTTCTTTTCCTTTATGTCGTTGATATATTGAGTGCACAAGAGAATAAAAGAGGAGAGTCGATTAATTATCTATAATATGATCAATTTATTTCATATAGAAGTTTTTAATCTATTTGTTAAATTATTAACTATGATAGATAAATATTAATTTTATTGAAAGATAGAAATAAAATAAAAACAAACACTTAAGAAATTAAATTTTTGCCATTTCTAAATGATTAAATAGCAGCGTTCAGTTAAACGTCTATATAAATACGCATATTTTTATTATTTAATTTTTCTTATAATCATCAATAATACATTTTTGTTTTGTCTACTCACCACAACATAAAGCTTATGAAGTTTCTTAGTGCTATTAATTAAAAGAAAATAGTAAGTGATAATAATTGATTATCTTTTTGTCTTACCAGAACTAACATGAAATAAAGAATAGAAATTATATGATAAGAAAAAGAAAAGATGTTAGAAAAAATATTATCATTACCTGATCTCATATAATGCAAAAAAAACTCCAAAGAGAAGAAAAACGAGAAGAACACAACGCCCATATAATTTTTCACTCAATTACATGGACTTAAAAAATAACTAGGAAAGTCATTGATGCTGAAATAAACGTTTCTTTTTTTAATATATTCACGTTTTATCATTAGAAAAAAAATATCGGCGTTAATCATTGTTTTGGATATCTTATAAACATTTGAATTTTTAAGTGAATCTATTTCTGCTGAAAAACTAAAAAGAATATTTATTCATTGAAGTTATAACAGAACTATTTTTATATACAACAAATAAAGAAACTAAATACGTCTGAGTCTATCCCACGTAAAAGTTTGGATTAAGAATCAGATTAAAAATCGATTATAATAGCACTATTATAATCTGATTTTAATCAGATTTTTCAGCTTTAAAAAACAAATTTTACTTGATTTTGAGTTTTTTAAAATGTATTTTAATCGATTATTATAGTAGTTGTTGGTAATCAATTAAAAT